CTGGATCTTCTCTGGCATACTATCCCTTTATTTCGGCCAATTTCTACTACATGTATTTTACCAGCGATCCGCGGTGCCTGGCAGAGGCTAGATATACAGGTTCATTGAATCTTGTTTTCGGTTGTATTAAAATCTGTTTGTAACAAATATGAAGCTTTGTGCCACATTTGTGTGTGTGTGATATTACACATAACAATATAGGGAAGCTGTGCTACTAGGACTAAAAATAAAACATTGCACCATTATATAAAGGAAAAAGGACAGACAAAATCATTGCCGTATTTGTTTAACATCTTGTTTCACAGATTAAGTGAAATTTAGATATGTTAGCTTTTAGCATATGGATGCGTGGAAACTAAATCAGCAGAAATATTAAAACTAAAATAGCAGAAATATTGACTAAAGAGCTACATATTAAGCCGGTCATAAACCAAGCTTTGCTCGGGGATTGCCAAAGTACTTCTGCCATCTGCTTGTAGCCTGTATCCATAATCTCCAAGCAGATACGAGGATCAAATTTTAGAATCTGTTCCCTGCAAAAGTGGCCCTCTTTTCAGTAGCACCGTTTTTCCAAAGGTTTACCTCCTCCCTCTTTTAATAATGATATATCTGCTTAAATACCAAACAAAACACAACAAAAGACGTGGAGCTTTTAAAGTACGTATAAGTTTAGCGTGTTCATTAGGTCTGTCAGTACAACCAGACTTTCTATCGTGACATCTGCTTGGTTTTCATTCATATGGTAATAAGTTCGACAGCGAAAACTCCACTTCTGCAAAGGCTTTGACCACTTCTGCAAGCGATCAGCTGATCGCAAAATCACATTTTGACGTATAACTCGAGAATGAAGCAACTTTGGTGGAAGGCATTGAGTAGGAATATAATAGAGACAGTAAGGAGTATACTCTGTAAATAAGGAGGCCGAAACATGTCAAAAGTTTCATTTTTCTAAAATTGAAAAAGCGGAAATTCATCCCCTATCACACCCCCGTTTTTGAGCGCCCGTTCCGAAAAGGCCCGTATCTCGCTAACGAAGCCTCGCTCATTCCCAGATTTGGCCATTTCGCGAGTGGGGAAACGCGATGGGCTCTTATGGGGGTTTTACTTCAGGTCTTTGCTGCTCTTGTTCTTGACCTTGAGGCCCTCTCCTACTACGAAAATATCAGTAATTTATCAGGAAACAACAGTTTTAGTCTTGCATCTGTTCATTTTAGGACAAACTTTCCTAGAACGGCTAGTACGAGCGTCTAAATACGGTGCGTTTTCGTCAATATTTCTACTATTTCAGTTATTACGAAACCAATAGTCTCTGAAAAAACGTACTGTTCATACAAAATAAACCCTTATACACTCTAGTCCCTTTACATAAATTGAAATACTGACAGTTGAAACATTTTCAATGGCATATTACATATATTTTACAGATTAACTATATATAATCACAGAGATATGGGGATGCTAAGACATAAGATTGTCAGATCGAGTTAACACTTCAAATTCACATCAACTACATACAAATCCACGTATACAAAAACGTAGATGGACTATAAGTAGTAGGGTCATGTTCATGTAAAACTAACTACAGATAGCTTTCGCCTCGGATTAACACATTAAAATTACCATGAACAATTTCACGTTGAACATTATACGTATCTAGTTGTATCAACAACAAAAAAAATGATAACAGCAAGGTGAATATTTTATCAATAAGGAACTCTCCTCTCATAAAAATAAAGTCAAGTCAATACATAACGCCAATGAAGTTAGAGACATTTAAGTAGAATCAAGTAACTGGACACATTTTCTAAAGCGCCAGACATTACAGATAGCACCCACTATCTTTCATCAGAGACTGAGTGGACTAAGTCTGTAGTGTAAACAGGTAATCTGTACATAAATCTGATAAAAGTAAAATAGTAGTAAGTCGAAAAATTCATTCTCGCTTGATATAGCTGATCATATCACAAAATCAATAAATCAATCAATCAATCAAACAATAAAAAACACTCATTTCACAAATATATCGATCTATCAATTAATCGTCTTCACCTGTCTCAATATAGTAAGTGACATCACAACATTTGGTTCACAATTCACTGTCACTGGTAGACTCTGGTAGACGGCAGACATCAGTTCTTGGTAGTGGCCACTTGGCCGGGGTCTATTACGGTCAGAAGATATATATGTTTGAGAGTAAGTTTTGGACATTATTTGAAACAAACATTGTCCCAAGATTTTGTAGATGTATAAATCTCACAGCCCTGTGATACTATTTACACGTACAGTGTGAAGTTGAAATAAGAGTTTCATTTTGGAAGTTTAGTTCAAACCAAAGGTAAAGTAACCCTTGTTCCTTACCTCCCCCTAGGCCTCCTTATCCGTATATCAGCTGTTAGCAGTAGTACATCTTGAGTTTAGCTACCACAAGCACGAAAATAACCACCCCACTCACAATACCGGCAATAGCACTAGCCGAAATCCCTGTCATAAGATAGCTTTAAACAATGTCTAGAGTTAGAAGTTCAAGGGTTAGGTGTAACAAGTCGATCGGTGTAATATAGCCAGCTACCGCCGCGCCGTGTGCCTGCGAAGCTGGTGTGTTACGCCGAAAGGCGGTTATACCGGCTATACAGATACAGATATAGATACAGATACAGAACTCACATGGCAATCACTCACTCCAATTAAAATGACGACTGAAAAATACCAGACACATCTGCACCTGTGGTCTGCAGACACATCTGCACCATGGACTGTAGGTCCAGGAGGGGTGGTATAGGAAAATAGTTTTGTGTCTATCAAGATAAAACAACTGCAGTGCGCATTCAAAATATCTCGTCACAGAAAGTAAGCTTTAAAGTACATGATGAATAATTTTTAAAATTTCTATTTGTTATAGTTGATACTAATACATTTTACCTCCTTTATTACCCCTCAACATTAAAATGTAACAGTTCAGGCATTAGCATTGCCGTTGAGGTATCTTTTGAATTATGTTCATGTTAAGCTGACAAACGTACCAAAAAGACTTAATTCCGAGGTACCATATTTTTAGGTCATTCTATATTTATATCATACTCATTGATTTGATTACAAGACGGGCCAATGAATGTAGAAAAATATTCTACTTCGTTCCATTTGTACCAAATTACAAAATGTTACAGTCCAGAAGCCCCTCCTAGTTTTCGACGACGAATCACAAGCCAGAATTTTGATCTGCTGACACACCATCATAACTTTTTCGCGCCATTGCAGAGCTTCACCTTGATGAAAGAACATCGTTTGGGCGGCCTTGCTGGCGTAAGATAGGGTCGGAGTCACACGAGGTAAGAGTTTCCTTCCATTTTACGGTAGGATAACACTCTAGATCTCCTTCCTTCTTTTTTTGGCAAAGGAAAGTAGAAAAAAACGCTGTAGACTGAGCTGCCGCCTGGCTTCGCTCCCTTATCGGGAAGTTAATCAGGTTTGCCAGTGTGTGCGTTTAAATGTGTATGTGTGTGTGTGTGT